GGCTGATTTCTTAGACATCGTGCTGTCCAAGACACAGCGAAAGACGCCAACGGTCAGCTCATTCCACTTAAATATCATCCAAGGAAGACTGATTAGCTGCATAGGTCATCCACAAAAACTTCAAAATTAGCCGTATACGGAACTTCTATATGAGAAAAGTCAAATTTACGCAAGATACATTCGACGAAAAACTGGGTGCGATACTGAACGACTTTCCCATGCTAGATGTGCGTTTACTTTTTTTTTCGATGTTGAAATAATGTTCACATTGTAGGCAGGATCTACACCCCTTCCTTTCGTCTCTTATGAACGTTCTTTACGACAAAAATCATTACAAACTTGCCCTTGGTCAACTTCGCACTGCTCAAAATCTTATTGACAATGTAGCCAAGGACTTTGTCAGACTGATCAAGTACGGCGACAGTCTGTACCGCTGCAAGCAACTGAAAAGGGCTGCTCTCGGTCGGTGAGTAATTCAGTTCTTTTGTGTATTTCGTAAGATACCGAAGTTTGTTGTAGAATGGCCACGATTATGCGTCGTCAAAAGGACCCCCTCGCATACCTTGAACAAGTACGCCAACATATATCCCGTCTCCCTGCCATCGATCCCAATACCCGAACCCTCCTTATCTGCGGCTACCCCAATGTCGGAAAATCTTCATTCATCAACAAAGTGACTCGGGCCGACGTTGACGTCCAACCCTACGCTTTCACCACAAAATCTCTATTCGTAGGACATTTGGATTATAAATACCTCCGATGGCAGGTCATCGACACCCCCGGCATCTTGGACCACCCTCTGGAAGATATGAACACGATTGAAATGCAGAGCATTACGGCGTTGGCTCATCTGAAGAGTGCTGTCCTCTACTTTATGGATTTGAGTGAGCAGTGCGGTTATACAGTTGAAGCACAAGTGAGTTCTAACCAATTCGTGTAACCGAAAACCATCTGACATCATTTTAGTGTAAACTCTTCCATTCCATTAAACCCCTATTCAACGGCAAGCCGACTCTCCTCATCATCAACAAAATCGATGTCATGCGTCTAGAAGACGTCCATCCTGACTCCCGAGCCCTTGTCCAAGAGATCATTGACTCCGAAGGCGTGCAATGCGTTCAGGTGTCATGCTATTCCGAGGAGGGTGTGATGGAACTGAAAAATAAGGCCTGCGAGGCTCTCCTTGCTCACCGCGTTGAGTCCAAAATCCAGGGCAGCAAAATTAATTCCATCATTAACCGGATACACTGTCGCGCAGCCTAAAGCACGCGATGACGTGGTTCGTGCACCTTGTATACCTGAGGCAGCTAAGAACAAGAAGAAGTTCGACAAAGATGATCCCAACAGGCGGAGATTGCAGAAGGATATTGAGTTGGAAGAAGGTGGGCCTGGTGTTTATAACGTCAACCTCAAACGTACGTGACTCCCCACCTTTTGTTAACGTTGACTGATTGTACCAACAGAGGACTATCTCCTCTCAAATCCTGAATGGAAGATGGACATCATACCCGAGATTATGGACGGCAAGAACATTGCCGACTTCATTGACCCCGACATTCTGGAGAAGCTCGATGCTCTCGAACGCGAAGAAGAGCGCCTTCAGACAGAAGGGTTCTACGATAGCGAAGAAATGGTGAGCACCTCTTGTTTCCTCTTCTTCTCTCACACCTAAGGGGCTTGTAACAGTACGACTCCGACGACGAACGCGAAGCCCAAGAAGCTCAAGTCGCCCTCTCACACAAGATTCACTCGCAGAGTATCAAGAAGAGCAAAAAGAACCAGGCTCGTATGCCTCGGACAGCGACGATACGGTCACTGTCCGATTTGACGGAGGGGATGACCAAGGCAGGCTGGACCCGAGTCGGATACAAGAGCGTGCAACGGTGCTAGCCAAGGTGGCGGGAGCGAAGCGGAAGAGAGCGGAGGAAGCTGAGATGGATGTCGATGATGATGACATGGAGAATGACGGGGAGGACGATGACGGGATGGACGTCGATGGTAAGGAGAAAGCACCGGCGAAGCGCATCAAGGGCAATTCTGGTGCCGTGGTGGCGATAGATAGACGGGCACCTAAGACGAATCGACAACTGGCTGGTTTACGGGACGAAGGGGTAAGTGTAACTGTTACGTTTTACAATACTGCTTGCTCACGTATATCCAGCAAGCATCCAAGGCGACCAAGCTACGGAATCTTGGACAGCGGCCGCGAAACCAACTTGCCAAGGCCGGAGAGAGCGATCGTGCAATCAAGGTTAAAATGGTGAGCAATCTGCAGAATGCAATATTGTGCAAATATCTGACCCCTCCTCTTAGCCAAAACATCTGTTTGCTGGTAAACGTAAGGGTGGGAAGACCCAGAGACGTTAGACAGCTCCGTTTCTTTCTTCCTTATTCATCTGCGTCACAATTTTTCACATTTAGATGTGTTTGTATATGCAATATTACGATAATCATTATTGCCGTCAAAGAACTGCGATCGTCATGCTCTCTCAATACACTAAAAATGCAGATGCAAGGAAGAACGAAAACCTAAAATAGATGGGAACAGTGTAGTGCTACAAGCTGGAACGCAGAACGAAGACTAGAATAATGATAGTAGCGTCAAAAAAGTGCAATCAAAGCAGGGAACGTTTATAGGGCGTCTTCAGAGTCCCAACGCGAAATCTTACCCAGAGGGCGGTAGTAATACTGTTTATACTTCTTCGTTTCAGACCTTTTTGCCGGCCTAGGCATCATCGCCCTCATTAACGATGCGCGTTCCTGGTCTTCATCTCGTTCCGGCACATAGAACCACTGCGCTTCCAGGGGGTGGTTCGAATCATCCTATATCAGACAAGAGATTAGCGCTCAATAACACAGCCTCACAGATGCGCTCACCATGCCACTGCTTTCTACCTTGCCAAACATACCATTTACACGATGAGCCTCTTCCAGCACTCTCATGATAGAAGTGATCCATTCCGGATCTTCTCGCTGTGATTTGAGTGCCGGCCGGTTCTGGATGACAGCTTTGTAGATGGAAGAGGCCCGATGCGAGGAAGCCCGAGACGTGGCCATGCTCTCGATGATCATACCGCATAGTTCGGCGTCTTCGACTGAGAAGTTCAAGGGAGGTGGGGGCGGTGGCTGTCGTTTTTCTGGTTCTTCATCCTCTTCGTCTGAAGATGAGTACGACGGCTGTCGACGTCGACGTCGAGGAGGCTCGGCCTGCTTACGTGGCTTCCTTGCTTTACTCTTGGTCTTGGTTTCGGATTTTGAGGCAGTGTTTTCATCGTCTGCAGCAACGCCGGAAGACGTCGAATGACTACCCAGCCGGGGCTTTTTCTTCTTCGGACCATCATCTTGCTCCTTTTTGCGCTTCTCGTGCCCCATCGTTACTGCCGCGATATAGTCAACTCCATTCTTCTCCTTCAACGTGACCTCAGCCATCTGACCCTGCTCTGGAACTTCCTGCTTCATCGGAGCGTCACTGATTGTGATGATAGCATCGTCCGATAAATCTCCCTCGGGCACGCCAGAATCTTCAATGCTGGTATTCACATCGGTGTCGATAACAACAGGTAAAGCTGGCGGTGGAGAGACTGGTCGTTGATCCTTGTCGAAGAAGCATTCGGGACTCGGAGATGGAAGTGAATCTGTTGATATGACGGCGGTGATAGTATCCAACTCGGCGCCACATGTGATCGACGTTTCTGGTATCATGAAGGGAGGTATTTCATATTTGGTCTGAACCTGTAAGGGTGAGGCTTGTAAACGATAGCAAAGCTCCATGTGCCAATACACGTACAAGCGGCGACGAAGAAGGATCCATGGTGACTGAGAGATGAATACCCTCGATGTCGGTGTCATCCGAGTGGAGCGGAGGAATGATAACAGGAGACAGTGGAGGTAGAGCTGAAACGCTTGTCGGTGACATAGGACCGATCATTGGAGATACAGAAAAAGACATGGGTGACAGAGGTGGTGACGAAGGGGGTAAAGGTGAGTAGGGTCGATTATCGTCATCTGGCATTTCTGATTCCGATGTTATTGGTTCTGTATCAACATCGGCATCATATGAAGTCTGTCTGTCGTCCGACTCTGGGGAGAATTCAGAGGTAAAATCAAGGCCTTCGCAGCTGGAATGGTAGGAGTTTATGGAGAATCCTGCAGGCTCAGAGGCGAGTCGTCTGTCAGGATTTGGTGGGACTGGGCGAGACGAGGTGGGCATTGAATTGCGTTGGTGATACGAAGGCTGAGGCTGAAAAGGTATAGGATCGTTCATCCATTGGCCTCGCTCTTCGGACACTCGGAAGAACGTAGCCCTAGTTTCGACAGAAACTTGGTCTTCCGTATCGTGGTCCTCCTCTTCGCTGTCTGTATAGAAAACAGAGGCATGGCTTGGGGATACCTCACTGGGCGCATTGCTACGAAACAGATGAGCGTCGGCGACGTCAGAGTACTCTTCTACATCGGACATGGGTGGAGGTAAATCCCCAAACATGGAATGAAAACTGGGTAGTTTGCACGGAACTTTGGGATGAGGAAAATTGAGAGGATGTAGTTCCCTGCGGAACCAATTCGACGCGCCGTTGCCCGGATCGTGAATGGCGATACAATACCCAGGACTAGGGCTTGACTGTATACCGGCTTGACATGGCGAATATATGGAATGAGGTGATGGTGGCGGAGACGACGAGCACGGTGGTGATGATGAAGGAGAGGAATATTGAGCACGATGAGCTGTCGACCATTTCCAGGTCGACACAGAAGGGAAGGACATGACGGTTGGTGATAAGATGCAGCAAGATCACGTGAGGCGCGTGTCACAATCAACGCGTTTAGGCGGCAATTTAAGCTCCGCTCGGGTTTCTCCGGAAATCGAAATGATGTAATCACGATCGCAGCTCCTCCATCCCCACTTCCACCATTCAGGATGCTCATTTCCTATCGCACGGAGCTCATTGAATGTGAAATGTACCGATAGGGACTCTGAAAGACAGAGATTGTAAAAAAGGCATTGACCCCTGGGCGGATTGAACGCACGACCTTATGGAACTCCCAAATCCCTAGACTGGAATCATACGCTCTACCACTGAGCTAAGGGGTCTATAAACATTGGGAAGAAGAAACAGTATATTATCAATAAAGTGCTCCTCAAGATCTACTAGAATCGATAGCCCATACTAGATTCGTCACTGGCAATGGGACAGTTCCGAAGCCAGTATTCGACTTACATCAGATACCCTCTTCTATTCCGCGATGATAACCAGAACCTTATCCGTCTTGAATCACACTGCTTTACGCATCATATGTGCGCGACATGTATATAGTAGGACTAGTATCCGATCTGTCACCACAGCATCATCCCGTACAGCTATCGTCACCGGCGCCGGTCAAGGAATGTGGGTCGTACCATGCTCTATAGCGAATGAGACGATCATCAAACTGATTCTATACCTTCCGAAGCGGACGAGGAATAGCTCTTCACCTCGCCCGAGACGGATTCAATATCTGTGTCAATGATCTTTCATCAAATGCGAACCAAGTCAAATCAGTAGGTCTGTCGCTGTCATACCTGCCCCATGTAGTGATACTTCTATGCAGGTGGTAGAAGAGATTACTTTCCCTGGGCGTAAGCGCCGTTGGCGCCTTCGGAGATGTGTCCAAACGTACCGACGTGGAGGAGGTCGTGAAGATATCTATTGACAACTTCGGACCTCTCACAGTCATGGTCGCCAATGCAGGTATCGCTCATTCCAAACCCATCCTCGATATTACCGACGATGACCTTCGACGAATATTCGAAGTAAACGTTATGGGGGTTTTAAACAGTGATGCAGTAGCTGCGAAGCAGTTCATTAAGCAAGGAACCGGTGGCAAGATTCTCAACGCTGCTAGGTAGGCCCTCGAACTTAGCTTCTCAATGACGATCACCTTCTCATCCAGCTCCTCTGCAGTGGGACATCATTCCGAGCAGATCATCTCCTCGCACATTACAGCGACACGAAAGCTGCGGTGCGAAGCTTGACACACTCCTTCGCTATGGAACTTGGCCGACATCGTATCACCGTTAATGCCTATGCCCCCGGCATCGTAGCCTCTCCCATGTGGGAAGAGATCGACAGGGAATGAGCGAAATAAACGGTCTCCCGGTAGGCCAGAATTTTTCCAGGTTTACGGATTCAATTTGTTTGGGCCGGACGAGTGTACCGGACGATCCAGCAAAGTTGGTTTCGTTTTTAGCGGGCGCCAGACTCGGACTATATGACTGGACAGACCATTGTCATTGATGGGGGGAACGTGTTTGTGTAGTAAGAATTGGTGGAAAGGATGCTCCTGATATGGGGATACGTACTATAGTTAGCACAATGTTAGATCATCCGAGGTGATTTGGATTGTCCGATCCACGGCATAAGAGATGGTGTAAGGCAGTGCGAGGTGCGGTGACGCCCACCAGTGGACCTAAGGTGCACTGGATAAAGGAGTGAACTCTATCTGGACTGACGAGGTTGATCCATCAGGACTAGATGAGTCACCAGAAAGCAGAAAATGATGAGTCGCAAATTGATTCAATACTGTGATGTGAGAGAACTGTAACTGGTGTGATGATTTATGCGCAGCGATCGACTTTGATTAAGGACTTTCGAAGATATTTATGTCGTAAAATTCTCCTAATTCTTCCTTGGGGATACGTCGGACGTCCATGTAATCAGGGGGGAACGTGTTTGAACGAAACCCAGTATCAGGGAGGTTGAATGATTCCGATGAGCAGATGGGATGGAAACCGAAAGATAGACAACACGTTTGATGTCTAGGACGGGTTGTACTCTGTACGAAAATTTAGCAGGGACCTTCGTCTAAATAGTAAACCGGAGCGAGAGCGACGCCGGGGGCCATAACCTCATAACAATAAACCTAGGAAAGGGTGTAACAGAGAAGAGATACTCAGAGCAAGTGATACCGATGACTTACCAGGGCGTTCCGTGACAAAAAGCGGAAGTTGGGTGATCCGTGGCGAGTCGGCAACGCGTCCCCAAAATCTCATGGGAACGCGGCCGTTGTTGGCCGCTGCTGGTATAATGAATGGTTAATTCATTGATACATTTCGAGCGCTGCAAACTTACGCGTCTTGTCTTACCCTGGCCATCGTGCGCCGTTCCCGCACAGAACAGAGCGGCTGGTCCCTAATCGATAAGTTCCCGACACAAGCTGCCTGTGCCTTGATGAAACTTGGGCAATTTACAAGTCCCACGCGCGATGGGGTATCCTAGTAAAGAGATGGGGACGCAACTGATGTTTAATTCTCAGTAGGCACTTGCTAGAATTGATAAGATGCATATCAAGTAGGGAAGAAAGGATTGATCAGCTCGGCCAAATCGGGTACGCAGCAGTCCTCATGCCCAACATGGTGAGAAGGTACTGCAGTGTGGGGTTATTAGGTCCTAGTTAAAATGGATGATTAAGCACTTGGAGGTAACGTGTGCTAGAGACTTGGGGGTAACAAAGAAAGTCCCGGCCACAAGAGTTAACAATAACAAGCAAACAGCATGACTAGGTGAACGAAATTTTATTTTCTGGGCGCCTGCAAAGGCCAGTTTACTGAATAGAGACCAAGACATGATGATGAGAGTTTCGGGAGGAAGGCACGTGCACGGGATATAAATCTGTTCCTCACGTCACACGCTGCCGCAGAACAGGTTTCCGGCTTTCATCTGTGCTTGGCCACAGGCTCTTTCATTCCTTTCCTCACGACCGCCATGTTCCTTGTCCCCGTATCCTTACTTTTCATTCTTCTTTCTGTCTCTGCAGAGCCCATCCATGTGTCCATAAGGAACATCGGCCCCCGCCAGGTTGATTACGCAGCTGCTGCGGATGCCCTTAGGGCAAAGTACGGCTATTTCCCCGCATCCCAGAGCAGAAAGCGGCAGAGTACAGCTGGTATTGGTATTGTAGATCAAGTGCGTCGCCGCTTCTTTGTCCGATGTCGAGGCCCTGAGCTGATTGTCCCTTTCCAAAGAACACCGATGCGAGTTATTTTGCGACTGTCAGTATTGGAACGCCGTGAGTGTTATTTCCACCTGGTCGACGTCGCGGAGCAAGTGGCGCATATGATAGACGGCCCCGGCTACAACGTCGACAAAAATTAAACGAGTTCCCGCTCGTCGGCTGCTCTGACGCCACGATTGTTTCGGGGCTTCGTAGTTTTCGTTTTTTCAATTTCGGGTGATTCTGACGTCTCTCCAGGGCCCAATCTTTCGACGTGATTCTCGACACAGGTTCTTCAGATCTTTGGGTCGCCGATACGAGCTGCTTAAGTTGTTCTTCTTCGACACCTTTGTTCGACACTCAGTCATCATCGACATTAAAAACGGCGTCCGGCAGCAACCTCTGAGACAACTATACGCTATGGCTCGGGGGCCGTGGCTGGAACGCTCTCCGCTGATACAGTGTCAATGGGAGGTTTCACCGTGACCCAGCAAACCTTTTGTACGCTGGATGCTCTCCTGTGCTTTCAAATATTGACCTTGTTGCAGTGGCTGTTGATCAGACAACAAGCAGCTTGTTAAGCGGTTCCGTGTCTGGTATCATGGGACTCGCTTTCGAACAGATCGCTTCCACACAGGCAATACCCTTTTGGCAAGCTCTTGTCAAGGAAACCAGTTGACATCTCCGGAAATGAGCTTTTGGCTTGCCCGGCACCGCGGTCAAACAAACGTACAACCAGAAGAATCGGGAGGCGTATTTACACTCGGAGGGACCAATTCCTCTTTATTCACGGGAGATATCGAATTTCTGAACATGCCCGTGTCAACGCCGTCGTTTTGGCTTCTAGAGCTCCAAGGCAAGTTCTTATCGTCGTCTACGCGTTCAGGCTCCCCCTGATTCGCGTTTCAGCTCTAACCGTCCAAGGGAAAAGCGTCGCTTTAACCACGAGCGGAACCACGGCATTGTCTGCTATCGACACTGGAACAACTCTGATTGGTGGCCCATCCGACGACGTCGCTGCCATATGGGCTCAGGTTAGCGGTGCACAACAGGCCCGCGGACAGCAAGGGCTGTACACGTTTCGTGAGTGGCGCGCTTTCCCTTACATATTTCGGCCGCTGGAATAATCATTTTCTCAGCGTGCAACACTAACGTCGAAGTGACAATGTCTTTTGGTGGCAAGTCGTGGCCGATCAATAGCCAGGACATGAATCTGGGCCCCGTGACCGCTGGCAGCAGTATGTGTCTTGGGGGAATCTTTGACCTTACTGCCGGAAGCAACATTCCGGAAGGAACTGGGAATCCGGGATGGGTTGTCGGAGCGACGTTTTTGGTCAGTATCCGCGTTTGTCGATGTCATAGTAGAGACTGAAGCATTCGGTGTAGAAAAACGTATACTCTGTTTTCAGAGATTCGAATCCCCCAGCGATTGGATTCGCCCAGTTATCGAGTACAGCAGGGGGATCAGGTGCGGGTCCCTCCAACTCTTCTGAGCCATCCCTCACCTCGTCGGTTCGGACTACCATAGGCACACCAGGACCGGCTGCAAGTGGATCGACAGCAAGTACCAGTAATGCGGCAGCAAAGGCCAATATACCCTGGAGAGTAGACCTATCAGTTCTAGGACTGGCTGTCCTATCGTGGTTTTGGTTTTTATAATTAAAGGACTAACTATTCCATCTGCATTCCATCTGCAATTGCTATCGGATAATAAACACGTACCAGTAATAATAGCGGTATTTTACTTACACTGCTTGGTATGTTCTGAGAAATGGATGCTAGGTAGCCCTGAATGAGTCAAGAATGCCAAGCAATCTGTATGAGATTTTGGCAGTCGTCGAGAATGGTACAAGGCAATGAAAAGATTGGCGCTGGTAAATACGCGATTGCCACATAACAAATGCATCTGCTTCCGGCGGCCATCTCCTGAACGCATTCACGATACCTATACCACTTTCTTCCCTGGCATCAACGACAGTAGGATTCGCATAATTAGAGGCAAATATATCGCAGCACCACCGGCGCTCTCTGGCGGCCACCAATAGCTTGCATGAGCCACGATGAGCAGCCAAGGAAACCACTGCTCCTTCGTCCTCCTGGCTGAATTTCACATCCTCGAAG